TCAAGCTAATAGACAAACAAAATGAGTGAATCAAATTTTGGAGCAATACAATGATTCAAAAAACTATTTCAATGTTGATATATTTTAGAAAAAAGAGTGTATTATTGATAAATTATAGTAAATAATGACATGTGGTTTATATAGCAAATAAATTACTCATTTACAGCTACCAAATGAGCCTAAGTTGAAAAGAATCCATTAGATAATTGTGAAGCTATGACCAATCTAATTTGGAATAGTATTGAAACAATTTTTTGAGTGTAGTGTCTAATTTTTGCATTCTATCAATTACTTAATATTACAGAATTTTATCATTATATAATTTATTATGATAATATTATTGTTAATCTACTAACATCATTGATACTTATTAGTAGCTATAAAAGCACCATTCTTAATCACAATTCTTGGCATGGATATATTCCAAATTACCACATTTTAGGACCTTCTAGAATCTTTTGTAAATTTTTAGAATCTTTTAGATACTTGTAGAATTTTCTATAATCTTTTAGAAAGTTCTATAGGCTTCTAAAAGCCTCTTTAGACTTCTAGAAGCTTCTTTAGTCTTCTAAAAACTTCCATGAAAAGTACCATAGACTTCTATAACCTTCATTATAATATAAATAAGAGTCTTTGGAACCACTTTTATTATTAAGTTCATTCTTTGTCTTTAATCTTGACATATTTTTTTATTAGATTTTTGTATCTTTGACAATTCCTTGAACCGCTACGAAATCCATTTTTTCCTCTCTCTAACACAACATCACATCTGTTCTTTTTTATTCTCAAAAATCTTATGGCCAAATTGCTTCTAAATTTGGCTATAGTAAAGCTACTATATCTAGACTAGCAAAAAAGATTACTTTTATTAGAAAGAATCTTAAATTAGATAGACCAAAGAAGCTCACTATAGTAGATAAAAAGACAATCATTTGCCAAATCAACACTGGAAAGGCTAAAAATATTGTTGAGATTATTAAAAACCTTAACAATATTATCAATAAACTTGTGTCAATCCAAACTATTTGAAATGTTCTCAAAAAATAAAATATGAAAGCCAAGGTGAAAAAAAAAAAAAAAAAAAAAAAAAACCCACTATTATCTATCTACCATCAAAAATAACACTTGGATTTTGCTTTGAAGTACAAGGAATAGACTATAGAGGATTGAAAGAAGGTTATTTGGTGAAATAAGACAAAAATCAATAGATTTTGATCATATGGTAGAAAATGGATATGGAAATAAAAGAGTTAGTCCTTACTTCACAAGAAGATCCAAAAAACAATTAAATATGGAAGTGGAAATATAATGGTATGGAATTATATGAAATGGAATGAAGTTAGAAAGATGGCAAAGATTAATAGGAAGATAGATGCTAAGCAATTTATAAAAATTCTTATAAAAAACCTATTCCATAGCATTGAAGAATCTATTATTATTACAAAAGAGGTGATTTTTTAGCAAGATAACGACTCCAAGTATAACTCAAAAGTAGCATAGAAGTGATTTGATCATCATGAAATTAAAGTAATGGATTGGCCTGCTCAATCTTCTGATCTTAATTTCATTGGATATCTTTGGGGGTACCTCAAATGCCTGCTCTATACCTAGAAGATAAAACCAAAGAGAGTTTGGAAATTATAGAAAAGAATAGCTATAGAATGGAATAATATTCAAGCAATTTTGTACCAAAAGTTAATAGAAAGTATGCCTAGGAGGTTGGAAGCAATTATTAAGGCCAAAAGAGGTCCTACAAAGTATTGATATGTAATTAGATACTACACTCAAAAATATATTTTAATATTATTTTAAATTGGATTGGCCATAGTTCCACAATTACCTCATGGATTCTTTCTAACTTGGATTCATTTGATAGTTATAAAAGAGTGCTTTATTTGCTATACAAACCATGTAATATTACTCACTAAAATTCATGTATAATATACCATTCTTTCTAAAAATATGTCAACATTGAAATAGTTTTTTGAGTCACTGTAAGAAAGAAGATTGAAATAGAAGTGATTGACATGAAGTATTATGCAACAGAAGACATACTTGGTTATTTACTAATAAAAGTATTTTTAAAGAATAGGCATGAAAAGTTGACAAAGGCATTAGATTTAAAAGTCTTTAACTAGTAGCAAATTGAAAGTGTTAAAATAAGAATAAGATACTATTACTTTAAATAAGTTATTAATGGTCAAAAAATAATAAAAGACTGAAGGTAAGTTAATAATGTGATAGCTAAGATTTTAAGTGGCAACTAGATTAAGAAGAATTTAGGATTAATATGGATGAAGTAAAGATGTATGAAGATGATTATAGATGAAGTTTAATTACAATAGATGTAAAATCCTCCTATGAATAAAAGATGTTGGAAGTGAGAGGCATTTCATTCTATACTCCACTTGTGTAGAACATTTTTGATTTCTACTTACTTGTATCTTGTTTGTTGTATTTCTTTATTAAACCATTGTAAAAATAGGTACAAATATTTAAATATAATAATATCTAATTTAGAAGGTATCTCAAAATTATTATACACTCTTCAAGACTATACCACAATGCCATTCCATAGACTCACAATTGTTTTTAGATCCTAAAAAATATTTTATGTTGCTTTGGTAGAGGCGTGGATATTTTGTCATGATTTTTCAACATCTTTCAAAAGATTGTTGTTTGCATTGTTTGTGAGGTAAATGTAGGTATTTTAGGACAAGATTGGCTCCCAGACAACTTATTTTGACATGGAGGGGCCACATGACCCAATTATGTTACAACATCTTGATCACAAGAAGGCTGGGTATGACCTTCTTCTACAATTGAACTATATTGCAGCTTAGAGCTTTAATAACTCAAATAGTAAAGAAAAACTTGCATAACTTTGAACCTCCAACCAGCCCACATCCAGCTTTGAAATTTGTGATTTTGCTTGATAGAGGATTACCTCTAAAATAACAATATTGAAATTTTTGCTATTAAAAAATGAAAATGAAAATAAACATCACAGTTGTGGGCTGATGAAAGAATGTTTTGATGGGTTGTACACATGGAACTTCTTTTGATATTCCAACTCTTTTGTTTGGAAGATTTCACCGTTGCCACTACTATAAGATCCCAACTAGAACAAAAAGAGGCTTGTGAAATTGGGAGCTAGTTTCTTATCAAATGCAAAAGGCAATGAAAATAAGTAGTTTTTTTTTTTTTTTTCTCATTAATTAGGAATTTTGGTTAGCAAATCTTGGAGAATTAGAATGTAGGACAAATTTTGAGAGATTGCAAACTTATTATGCATACCAAAAATTAATTTGCATATCAAAATACATTCTTTGCAAGAACTTCACAATTTTTTTTATTTTTAATCAAACCAATATAAGATTAAAATTTAGAATTTAGACAATATACTCTTTAATTTGTGAATACTTTTATTTATTTTTTTTATAAAAAAGATATACTAAATTGGCATATATTCTTATTGTAGTATAATATTGGATAAACATATAGTGACCCAAATGCATTTTTGTTATAAAAGTAAGATGAATGAAGCCAAAATATTTTTAAAACAATAGAATGTTTTATAAAATGAATAAAACTGGTGGCGAACCAAATAAAATTAGTAAAGAAGTAGATGTTCAAATTGTGGTCAAAATCAATGATTGTAATGATTAGATAATTAAAAACAATAATTACAATAAAAATAAAAAATCTGTTTCAGTAAATGAACCCTAAAGCATTTAGCAACCTTGCCATGACTATATATCAAAATATTATATAATGTATCACTTTTCATATACCATGTTATCAACTGTAAATTTGGAGGCTTATTCCACATGACTATGCTCTTGTTTAACAAAATGTATTATTAGGATTGATTGTAATAATAGGATTAATCACATTTAGAATTGAAAAAATAATATTAATAGAATGAAGATACAAAAAAAATAATAAGGATAATAATAAAAGATGGATGCACATAGAAAGATTTAATAAATAATGTTCTTATAACATATCATGAATCAAATATTAATGGTCACATTCATTGCAATTTGAGTTCAATACCAACCAAATTAGATTACATGTTGAGGATCAAATTTAGAAAGTTGCTAAGATATTTTGTATAATTTATATTTGATGGAATAACTCATACAATGTCATTTAAGACACACCACCATAAAAATAGACATGTTGCAAGAGGTGAGTAAAATTTGTTTAAACAACCATCAAATTAAATCCATAAAAAAGAATCTCAATATATACATACATAATGGTGGGCAAGTATGCATTTTCCACCATTGTTTGTACAAACATTGACTTTACAAAAGGCTAAAGTGTCAACCATGTAGGATTTTCACCTTGGTCAAAATGTTGAAGTAGTTGTGTACTTAGGTGTACAAATATTAATAAACGCATTTATCACTGTTATGACATGTACCAACATGTACTTTTTACAATATAAAGTCAAGCATGGCTACATGACATCCATATCAGCCTTGCCCTGTGGACATTATAAAATAAGAACTTGCACCTCCATTCCAATTCTTAAACAACCCACAAAATATCACACACACAAAAATCCCAAATATAATTGGCAATGACATATTTACAACTACAACATAAAAATAAAATAAAATAAAATATAGAAGGAATAAAAGTGCATCAATAATGGAATAGTGATGGATTTCCTAATGACAGGATCTTAGCCTCAATGATTCCAAAGAAAGAAAGGGATGGACGAGATAAAAAAAACGACAAAAGGAAAAGGAAAGGGGAAGGGAACGGGGAGCAGACAATGTGAGAGCGGGAGGCTGAGTCATCTGTCCAGCTGGGACAAAAGCTTAGACCACGTCATCCCCATACCACGGACGAACGGGCTGAGCTGGCGCGGCCACGTCGCGTGGTCCCCTACATTCCCGCCACCCTAGACCGCACTCCAATGTGCTGCAAGCGTCTACGAGTCTTCGCAATGCCCCGCCATGCTTATGGCGTTACTTCGTGCAGTCGCAACGAAGGATTTTCGAAGCCGAAGCTAACGTAAAGTGGACAGGAAGGCCAAAGGAGTAATACGAAATAACATTACCTCTGAAAAACTAATTGGGTTCGGAGTCACCATCTCTTTTTGTGGGCTGTGGTTGTTGTATATACTTGCCACCCCCCACTCTTCTTTTTGAATCTTACCTCGGTTATGCTATCGGTGCAGTCTCTTGGTTGTTAGTCAACATGGGTTTCACGTTTCGAAGCTTGTTGCGGTGTTTACGTCGCGACGGTCAAATTTGCGTGGTTTGTGGGTTCTATTGTTGGAACTAGAGAGGATCTTGCAGAACTCGGTGTTGGGAATGTTGGGTGGGTTTTGGGGGAGTTGGAGAAGTTGGAGTGAGAGGTTTTCACCGCGGGTTCACGTTAGTTAGAGTTGAGAGTGTGTTATAATTAGAAAATTTGGGATGGGTTCATTGCTTCGGAGGAGGATTGCGGGGCAGTTTGTGGAGGAGAAGTCGCTCTTGTCCGCCAATAGTGAGGCGCCAGTGATGGGTTGATTGTCTCCGTGCTTTGCTCGCAAGCTTCCAACTCACACGAATCCCAGTGTGGCACTCTGCAGCTTTTAGTTCATGCGTATCTGCTCGGAAACGCGACCTTGTCGATTGCGCACCTGCAACTTACACTTGGTGTCTGCTACCATATCCATTGGCACTTTTCCCTATTTCTTTTAGAAGCTTCATGTCCACCTTTGTTTTATTTTATTTTTTTATTTTATTTTTTTTTGTTTTTTTTAATATCTTCTCTACTGTTGTGCACGTCGATGACATTGCCCCCCTCCACCCCGCTCTTTGTTCCTTGTTCCTGCTTCTGTAACACCTATCATCACGCTAATTTACGCCGGATCTCTACCTATCTTTCGGAACAGTCTTGTTGCCGCTTGCCTTGCCTCCAATTCTCTCCAGATTCTTAGTTTCATGGAAACGGTCGTGGTCGTAGTCGCTTGACTTGCAGTGCGAGCCGAGTTTGATGGTCAAGTGGCGATACAGATTCTGTTTCTGGATTGGTCTGTGGAGCTGTTGATTTCTTTTTTTTTAGTTTAGCTGGGTGGATTCTGACGGTGTCTTATTGTTTCGGAAATTGGAAGGGAGTTGAATAAACGTTTGTAGAGAGCAATTCAGGTTTCTTTAATTTGGCAATTGCGCACCGACATTACCTCTTAAAAAGGTTCAGAGATTCTGTATCTTCTGCAACACTCTTGGATTTATTAACCCTTTGAATGGGGTGATGGGGTGATCGATTGAAGCAGAATCGGGGCAGAAATCATTGAGGGAAGGTGAAGTATGGTCGTGACAGGTTTTGTTTTGGGTTTTCCCGGTAATGAGGTTTGGATTTTAGGCAGCAGAGGATTCACATTGGAAAGCTTTTATGGAATCAGCGAATTGAAAGTCGTATTCGCTTCTCTTTGGTCGGCTACTTGAATTTATTTCTTTTGGGGAGGTTACTTGCACCCGGCAAACATACATTCGAGGTGTCGCAGTTGATTAGGAACCTCTAGATTTTGGACATGGGTCGTCTTCACAGCTCCATTCAAACCTATGGTTGGAGTATGGCCAAATCATGAATACGTTGCGTCTCACAGTGTGACGGCATCGTAGATGACTTTCTGGTTGTGTAGCTGCTTACTTCATTAGTTTTGTGACCTATACTACCTCATAATTCAAGTTCATAGTTCTGCCATACCCCACGCATTGATTATTTTATTCTCGCCGTTCTCCTTTCTGATTGGAGGTCTGAGGGACTAGCCACATGCAAATTCGGGCAGGAGTATTGAAACTGTTGCAATAAAAAGCCTGGGGGTGGCAAAAATGATGCAGAGATTGGTTGACAATGTCCTTGGAGTGGCAAAAGAGTAAGTATACAGCTTCAATGCCTTGGCAACAGGGCCTTCGGATAAATTAATTAACAATCGGACTAATTCAACTCAGCTTTTGTAAAATTCATCGACTTGTGAAGTCGATTCGGAACTTATCACGTATCAACGAGCTCGCAGCGATTTCTTTTAGTGTATCTTAGATATCACACGTTGCAGATTTCCTCATAAGTTGACTCAACTTTCTCGGTGCAGGTCTATCAAAACCTTTAGCCAAGAGTCCTTCAACCAAACGGTGAGGGTGATCAATGGTTTTTCGGCAATACTCCTTGCAGTGCTTCCTGGCCAGTCCAGTTTAGAGGGAATTCAAGAATGGGAGCTTCGTCCAGCATTCCGGGCCCCTCGCCTACCGGGTTGGATGGAGGAGTGAGTTTTCTCTTTTGTGATTACAATTTGGATTGATCTTTCTGAAGATGACATGAGAGATGTTATTGTGAAAAAATCCCGGATGTTAGATGAGGTGTTACAATAACAGATAAGGGTAGGCGTAAGGAAGCTTTTTCCTGCTACTTCTTAAATTTGGCAATTCTTTATAGGTGATGTGGAGAGGTCTCAAAGCAGAAAATTAATTCATTTCTGGTTGTTTTGCAGTGGAGTTTCTTCCTTCAATTCATTTATACATGATTACGAATCAGACATTGACTTAGACTATGAATCGGAATATGAGTCAGGTTGGGACGATGATAGTTTGCCACCTGCGTCTCCTGGTTCAACAACCTCTCATATGTCCAGAATCAGCAGCTTCAGTAGACACCGTCCACATAGTTCGGTTTGGAAAAGACTTTTTCGAACTTTCTTTTGGCCTGTCCGCATCTGGTAATATCTTCTCCACTCTCTTGAGTTTACAAATTTGAAGATACCTGGCATGGCACTCATGCCTGTTAATGAATAAGCCCGGCCATGAATATCACGTTTTACTTCTTTGGATTCTTGTACCGAGCGCTTTGAACAAAAAGCTACACTTGCACAGCAATTTTTCATTTATTATTTTCTAAATTTTCTCTTTGTATGTGTACTGTTTGATAGGAATTCAGAAGCAAGCCCTCATCTTACACCCAGAGGTTCCAGAGAGTCGCATGGTTACGGACTTTCGTATGGACGCACCATTAGTTCTGGAAGCTTGAGTCGCATGTATCGTGGGATGAAAGATTATATGATGCCGAAGCAGACTGGCGATCGACGGAAGGGTGTGATCGAGGTCTGACAAATCTTTGCACAATTACTGGGTTACAGTGAAGGAGCGTTTGTTTCTACAGCAGTTCGGATTCTTAGCTCCTTTAACCGTTTCTTTGTTGCAGAAAACATTTGAGGTCGTCCTTCGTATTATGAAATTTGAGATTATCTAAAGTTATGCTATGAAGTTGAACCACTGCCTCATGAATCAATATGTTTGTTTACAGGACATGCAATTTTGGGTGGAAATTTTTATTGAACGGATTTTTGAGATCGTGAGAAGCTTTATATACTACTCATTATCACCCTTTAAAACTGCTAAGTTATTTCTCAAATTTCTCCTCTTCAGCGATTCCAACCCTGAACCTGATGATCTTGTGGAGACATCTACACTTGGTGATTCAAATCCAGCCCTTCAGAAGCAAACTTTGAATACAGATGGACGGACCTGCGAGGATGTTATCACTAGTCTGGGGTGTGTAGATCCTTCTACTTGTGCGCTTTAGTACGTTTAATTAACGTAAATTCTGCGTGAAAGCTTTCGATGCCTAACCCCAGTTGCGCGTTATAACCAATGAGATAGCTGAATGCCACAGGTATCCTTATGAAGCATTGCGGGTCACGACAGACGATGGTTATATCCTCCTCCTTGAAAGAATTCCAAGGTATACCACGATGATCTACATCGTTCATTACAACATAAGCTCAGTAATTTATAGTCGTTCTTTCATCACAGTAATCTATGTCTTAAAATGCGATTTATCCCGGAGTCATGCGTGTAGGACCACGAAAGAGGATGGTTTCATATGTCATACTACCCGATGCAACTTGAGATTTTGGTAGTAATCTGACTGCACCGGGTTTTGATCGTTTGAATGCAGACCTAATTCTCAGAAAGTGCTATACCTGCAACACGGCATATTGGATTCGTCCTTAGGGTGAGTAATCGCGCAATGTAGATGAAATTTGGAAAATTCGTTGAGATTAAAGCTGGCTATAAACATGACAGTTAGTTTCCATGGTTTTGTACCGACGGCCTCATCGTGGCAACGTTGCATCAGGTGGGTGTCGAACGGAGTCGTCGGTTCTCAGGCTTTTGCAGCATATGATCAAGGTACGCCTTTTAAATCATCTTTACACATATTATTCATGCGATTTAGTCCTGGAAGCTGAGGTATTGTCTTGCTAAAGTAAATGTACTGCGCCGTTGCAAGTTCTATTTCAAATTGCTAGATTACAGCTGAAGTATGCTAGACATGAAGAGAACATTGTCTCATTCATATTTAATCATATGCCGTTACAAAGCGATGTCTAGCCACAGGGCGATCTGCAGGTTGCTTCATTAGCATTCGATTAAAAATTCTTTGATTTTCTTTGTTTGTGCAGGCTATGATGTCTTTTTAGGTAATTTTCGGGGCTTAGCATCCAGAGAGCATGTGGATCCTAACATATCCGCTCGAAGGTAACTCTCGCCTGAACCTCTACTTTAGTAATGAATTTTTATGAATCTAATGTCCTTTCTCATGCCTTTTAGCTGTGGCTTAAATTGCTAGCTAGATTCTTACTCAACGATGCAGTCCCGCTTCTTCAATGTTTTGATGAGTTTCTGCAACAGGTACTGGCAGTACTCGGTAAACGAGCATGGCACTCTAGATATCACAGCGATGTTGGCTAAAATTCATGAAATAAAGATGGTCGATTTGAGGGATATCATAAACGATGTGAGCCTCTCAAACCCCGCGAATTGCAAGGGCGAGCAACTGCCGTATTCATTGTGCGGCGTAGCACACAGCTTGGGAGGTGCTGCGGTTATGATGTATGTTATTACGCGGAGGCTGGAGAATAAACCCCACTACCTTTCTAGACTTATTCTTCTCTCTCCAGCGGGTTTTCACGAAGACGCACCTCTATTTTGTTGGATTATGAAGTACGCGATGCCTGTGATTGCTCCAATAGTGGGGCCTATTGTACCAGGTTTATACATTCCCACGAGGTTCTTTCGTGGGCTGTTCAACAAGCTCGTCCGCGACTTCCAGAACTATCCCGCAGTAGGCGGCCTTGTGCAGACCCTCCTTAGCTCCGTGGTTGGTGGTGACAGCTCCAACTGGGTTGGTGCTATTGGGATGACGCATTACAACATGAACGATATGCCTGGGTTATCGTTTATAGTGGGGCAGCACTTGGCTCAGATGATGCGGAAGAAGAAGTTTACCATGTTTGATTTTGGTAGTGCGGAAGCCAATCTTGAAGCCTACGGAACACGCGAGCCTCTCGATATAGGTGCTCATTACGGCGTTATTGACATCCCAGTGGATGTCGTGGCTGGAACGAAAGATAAGTTGATCCCGCCATCCATGGTCAATCGTCATTACCAAACGCTGAAGAAAGCGGGTTGTAAGGCCTCCTATGATGAGTTCGATTATGCGCACTTAGACTTCACATTTTCCCACAAGGAGGAGCTGCAGGCTTACGTGATGTCACGGCTGTTACTGGTTACGCCCCCTCTGCTGAAGTCTGGAGAGTTGAAGAAACATCTCAGCAGCAAGATGCGAAGCTCAGTTTCGAGGAAGTCCTTGAGAAAGCCCAGAATCGTGGTTGAGGCGGATAAAGTTTCTAAGGAAGAGGAGATAGGGAGTACTTCTAATGCTTCAGACACTGACGCAATTGTAGATGCTCCACCATATGCATTGACTTCAACAGCGCAAACAGATCTTGAGAGAGTGCCCAACCACGACAAGGAGACCCTGAGCAGCGTAACTGCAGGTTCTATTGCGACAGAATCTCATGAAGAGAGCGTTTGCGAACCACAGTCCTTTGTGCCTCAATCTTTTGATGATTCCAGTCTTTTTGCCTTCCCCTCAACAGAAGTGGTGTCCATCATGTTACGGCGAATCCCAAGTGGCGCTTCACGCAACATCGACGTTACCCGAACCAATAAATTTAACGTTCACCAAGACTTCGATACATCCGATGGTTGTACAGCGACATCATCGAATCTGCACATCTCAAAAAAAGCCTAGCAGTACCGCATTTAGCAGTCTGGCATATCAGCTGTTTAGAAGAAACTCAAATTCCAGGAGGTAGGAAGCTCCTCAGACACAACTGTATAGTAGACGATCGTTTGTTGGCCGACTTGGCAATGACCACGGGTGCATACTTCACAACACCAATTTTAAGGAATTTTAAAATTACCTGTACGCTAATGCACAATGTCGACGCTGATATGATGTTTCTGTTGAAGTCATCGATCGGCGTCGAACTTGCAAATTAATCAAGCTTCTTGAGATTGAACTCGATTCTTTGTCTACCAATCTAAGAATTTTAAGACGACTAATGATTTATAAACGGCGAGCTTTGCCGGATGCTAATTCAGGGTTTTGACAGCCGGGGAGGTCTATTCTTCCCAAGTTACAAGTAGAACTGAACTTCGATTCGGTGGATGTTTTGTTGATTCGCTTCGTTTATACGTAGAACTTCATCTGTCGCAGACAAACTCCAGAGTCCTTCGATCCCTTCGAACTGTTATTGTTGAAGTGATTCCAAGTAATGAAGTGATAGACAGCCTATGTTCGAAGGAATTTGCCATTTGCTGCAGTCATTGTTAGTGATTGAGGATGGCGCGCCGTATACGTCGTGTGATGTAGGCGCTGCGCTCAAAGCTCTGCTTGTTGTCGGGTTCACTGCCTTTGAGCTCGGTATTGAGATTATTATTACCCTATGATTCCAAGTATTCGAAATTTGAAATTTTTGCAGTGCAATAGTGTATCCGGAATCGACTTTGTCATGTGTCGATGATGGGTCGCGGTTGAGAGAAGTGCTGTAAGGTCTTCGGCTGAAATTGATTGCTGAAGTGTGACCAATTGAAATCTTGGTCCATTAGAAGCATGAGATGTATGTCTAATGAAGCAGAGATGTACAACAGAGTAAATTTGTGATTTCATTGATGCTCCTTCACCTTGCGCCGTTGTTGTAGTAATTACCATCATGAAGAACCCTCGACTTCCAGCTTGGTAGACTGTGGAGCTCGCGCAACTAAACCTGTTATGTGAATCATTACATTGGGAAAGTCTGCTAATGTTTATTTCCTGAGGAGAATTGGCATGCAGAGATGATTCTACAACGCCACACACACAAAGATGTATGTTTGTAATAGGCTGTATACCAGGGATGAATTTTGCACTTTTGCTAGTATTTCTTGTCCAGAAGAGTGAACGGAGATAGCAGGTTTGCTCTTACATCTAAAGCCTCCCAAACATTTATTAACTTGTCAGGCGGAGGATTCCAAATTGTACACTAAATATGCGTGCTGATTTCAATACCAGGAAAATGAATAATGAGTTTATCACTTCAGCTGCTGGTAAGGAACAGCTCGAGGAAGTGTTAGAGCTTGATACAGAAAACCACGTCTGCTAGTTCACCTGGATCCTAAATCCTGGTGAGCGCTAAAATTATAGTGATTACGAGGTTTTCTGAAACTAACCAGAATTGTTAACAGAGCTTAAACTGGGTACCATCGTAGCATCCACCACAATGTTGCTCAAACAACTTTCGACCATGCATTGAGGAGACAATATCCGGAATCATTGTCACGAATTCTCAATCGACGATGAGAAACCTGGTCTTTGTTATCGCTATTCTTCGTCGGATTATTGATGCAATTATACTGGAACATGTCATGGTAATTGAGTTTATTGCAGATCTTCTGCTTCCACTCGAGCTTTCCGCGTGCTACTCAATGTTGACTCTCGAGACCAAATGTTTGCTTTGAATCGATCGACCACGTCATCGGAAGCAGTTTCAAGAGCTCATGGGGCATACTCTGCTTATGTTCTCATTGACTACTACTATTATTCCAACAAGCACTTCATTCTCGTATCTTGTGATGTTATCCTTTTCAAAAATAATGTCAAGAAATTTGGAGTTTCTTTCTTTGCATTTGTATTGATATCATTTCAAAATTCAAAAGAATTTACAAAAATAAAATATTTTAAATACTTCAAATTGCATAATTGGTTTTAGTCATGGAATTATACATTGTAGAGCCAAATGTTATAATCTTTATAGATAATATGTCATAAATTGTATTGATAAACTTCATACTCAATGTTTAAATTAATATTTTTTGGAAGTTTTTTTCTTAAAGAATAGAGATTTTTAGCCATTAAATTATTTTTATTTTTATTATTTCCATTTAGAAGTTATTAATTACAAAGACTTTGCATAGTTGATTTTTTTTATCCAATTTCATATATTATTCAAGTCAAAATTTTAAGTTATAGTAAGTAGAACATTCATTATTGCAATAGAAACAAATGAAGCAAATTTTTATCTTTTAAGATTTGTCCCATGTCTAAAGCCATAGAATTAGATAAGAATTCATTGCAAAAAATGAACCTTCTAATGTCTACTTAGGATTAATTTTGTACCATCTCCAAACTTTGAGACTTGAAGTGGATAGGCATCTACTAATATAAATATGTATAAAGAATTTTAGATCAAAAATGTCAACAAACAAAATTATTAAAGGATATTATCTTAGAAACATGAACCATGGGGTGAATAAGCAGTTTGGTCTAAGCACATTGTATACATTACAAGTACATCATCGCAATTGCAATTGCCTCAAAATTATGAATAGAAAATAATATTATTTTTAATAATTTTATTGAGGATTTAATTACATTAGATGATTATGCATAATCAAAATATGGTCACAAATTGATGTTATTTCAAAATAATACTATCTAGAAGTGATACAACCTAAAAGTGATACTACCAAAAAGTGGTTGTGCTTAGCTTTATCTCAAGTAGACAAGATGTATGAAAAAGAAATATGAATGTATTAAAAAAATACAAGGTAAATATTTGTGCATTTCAATATTTTCTCATGAAGTACAATTATATTGCTGAGAAAACATTAATAAGTCTCTTGATGCCAATAGTTTCTTAAAGTATTTAAAAAAAATTGCACCTAAGTCTTTAGTAATTACATTAACCAATTGTTATTCTATTTGAATATACTTAAGTTTTAGTTATTCTTTTAATATGCACTTTTGAATAAAATGGTTTTTTTTTTTTTTTTTTTTTTTTTTTTCATTTCTTTCTTTTCTATGTATTTGGTTCTTGCATAGAAATATAACTTCTTAGCCAACTTGATTCTTTCTTGGTTATTACAATTAAGATGCATATCATGCAAAGTGGTCAATGACCATGTCTTATAGTATTGCTTCTATTGTAATACTGTGGTGAATAACAAGTTTAGGATGTGTATCCAAATACCAAGGTTGAGCTAGAATTATATAATGTTATTTATTTGTATATATTCGCATGCCAACTTCTACAAATATTGCCATATTTTGAGCAGTACCTTGTAATCAACATAACTTCTTCTTTTACTTCATCATTATATCCCTACTTCCACAATTCTTTAGCCTACATTTATAAGACTATGTTGGTATACGTAGAAAGAAGAGTCTTTACAAGATCAAAGCCAAAGATTTAGACAAGAGTAGACCAAATCCAAAGCAATTGATTTAGAACAATGTGCATCAACTTCATCTCATCAACCTCTAAGTTGTTGTTAGTTGTTGTTATACAACAACAATTAAATAAAAGAATAAATGAAGATCTTTATTTGGGACATGCCTAATTGGAGATCAATTAATGAATTTCTTTACAAGTCTTAGATAAAAGAGAATAAGAAGTAATAAAGTTAATATCTATTTTATCACTTTTAAAAAATGAGCTTCCACTTACTTTGTAGGACCATAAACAAAATAAGGCAAGGTAGATTAGACAAAAAACTACTAAAGAGATTTTCAAGTAAAAATCAAAGATAATTTCTAAAAACAAATTTTTAAAGAAATATTTTGATGAATATTTAAAGATGATTCTTTGTAACTAGGATTCAAACCAAAGCTTGAGGCATAGAACCACATGCCTATGACAAAAGCAATGTTCTTTTGTTGATCAAAGGGTGGAGTTAAAGATCAAATTTAAAAAAGATTCTACTTATATTACTTGGAAGAAATTGAATTTGTATAGAATTTGTGTAAGCTTTACAAAGTCAAGATTTGATTTAGATAACTTTGCATTATGAAATAAGGTAGAGTTTATGTTTTAGGAAATTTTACAATTCTTTTGTAGATCCATAAGTAAAATTCTTTGGATTTTTTCACATACTTTTTATGAATTTTTATGTGAATTTAAGCTTTGTTGGTTGATGAGAATTAAAATTATTAGATTCTAAGTATAATAGAATATTAGTAGTTGGTAGTTTGAAGGTGAGCAAAGATAACAAAGATTTGCAACAATTTTGTAGTTGGATCAAAGTAGAATTTTGGAGCATAGTAACTAACATGAATTCTAATATCTATCCAAAGTTTGGAAAAATATTAAGAGTACAAGAAGTAGAACTCTACAATAGGATTCAATATTAAGGTTGGAGAAAAAAACTATTCAACACTCCATCAATTTATTTGTATTTTCTCTCAATTTATAAGTACAATTCTTTTCAATTTTTCAAACTTGTTGTCAATTATGACATTCAAGGTACACAAGTTTAAAGCAAATTCAATAGTTGATTAAAAAGTTACTAAGGTTTTAATATGTTGATAGGTCTATTTAAGTTTAATTAAGATTAATATGAATTTAATTAAGATTAATATGAATTTAATTAAGATTTAGTTATGAATTTGTTAGGATTAGGACTTTTATATTGTTCAATTAGAATCCTTAGGATTTATCCAAGGATTGTTCAAAGGTTAATTAGGATTTGATAGGATATATATAGAATTTCTCTAGGATTAATAGGGTGTATTTAGGATATCTTGGAACTTCTTGAAGACTTTGTTTAGGTTGTCTATGATTGCATGGGATTACAATTAGAGTTGATTGAAGTTGCTATGAAAGCATGGTAGATCCATACACAACACTGGATATATTTGACGAACTTACAAAACTCTTGAAAATAACCAAAAACTAAAAGAAATGTAATTACAACCTTTATGATGTCCTTGCTTCAATGAACAGCATTTCTAATACATGTCATACATTTCATACTTTTTCTTTACATTTCCATATTGTTTTACAAACTATCCATTCAGCAAAGTAACAACTCCTTTAATTTCTTTCATCCTTCCAACTAAGACAAAACTCAAGCTTCTACCATTCATTTAAAAAGAATAAAAGTAACCAAAAATCAAATAACGCTTTGATGTTCTTTACAAAATATATACATAATTCTTTTTTGTAAGAAAGAACTCACTTTGCCAGCAGATAAACAGATGCAACTTGAAGCCGAACTTTGCGTCCACCGCTGCCGCTGGCGCTGCGGCGGTAGTAACGATGGTCACCGAATACTACCGACAGATGCGAAGTGCAGAAAGGAGATCGATGCAACGCGCTTGTTGACGCCGCATCGAAGCGCGACACATCAGTCGGTGGCAACTGTGAGGCGGCCTTTTCCTACATCCTTACACTTCGACAATGCACGATGCGTGAGTGAGGCCCAGAAACTGGATATCTACAGGCAATGCTTCCCAGATGCCTCTGCGTCGCGGACCCTCGCACGACTCTGCCGCAGGCAAGTGGTACCAATACATCCTGTGGCTGTCCTCATCGGCGTTGCAAGTTCCTGTTACCACAAGTCTGGAGCCATTTGAGGTGATACACAACGGCGGCGAGATACCTTCATCGCCCTTGGGTAGCTTGTCCAGGAATTGCCACTCGTTGCTCTTGGGGCAGTGGACGAGAAGCCTTCGCTCCTGGAAAGCGTAGAGGCACCCCGAGGCGCCCACAATCACAGCCGGGCTGGAGTCGATCATGTTGTCTATCTGTAGCTAGGTCCGATTGATGGAGTCGTAGATCTCGACGCTCTTGACATACTTGCACTGCGTCGCTGTCTGGTACCCACTGATGGCAGAGAATTTCCCTGCCAACACGGCTCCAACACGGCTCCTACGCACTCGTCTCGGACTATGTGCATCCTCGGGAGCGTCTCCCAGGTATTGCTCGCTAGGTCGTATCGCTCAGCAGATGCAAGCGCCAGTCTTGTGTTATCGTGGCCTCCGGCCACGAAGACAGAATCTCCCACTGCCGCGCACGCAAAGAAGGATCTCGTGCTGGACATGTCTGCCCCTCGCTACCATGTCCAGGAGCTGAAGCTGAAAATGTAGACGGATCGAAGTGTCTCCCACAAGACTGAATTACTCAACGAAACGACGAAGTTGTTCTAAACACGGACGAAAACATCCCGAGATAAGACTACGGTTCCAACATGCGGACAAGAATACATGCACGGCATGCATGAAGAACCAACTGCGAGACCACGAAACTATAAATTGCACGCGCTTTTGGGATAAGTAGACGACCAGGTCTGGCGTGTGGTTACGTCGCAACTAGAAGAGAATCTCGGCGTGGGTCATCAGCTCTTCACCTCCCAAAGCTGCGAGGAGCTTCATGTCCGCAAGAGCAAGATCGCAAAGCATGGAATTTGATGCAATTTCGAAGCCATGCATGCGAACTGGGATTGAGCAACGACAAACCCTAATTCCCGTGAGGGCTGGCTATGGCGCTTCTGGCCATGGCCGGAACTTTCACTGTGGAGTCTACGTTTTTTGTATATTTCTTTTGCTTTCTCTTTTTGTTCAACAATGGAAAACATGAAGTGGTATTCTTTTGTTAATGGAGAAAGGACCACAGAATTAACGCAAGAATGAGAAACATTAGAACAATGCATTGAAGAAAAATGAATATTTAGAACTATTACATGTATGTGGGTTTGTGTGTGTGTGTTTGTGTTGAAGTTAGTGTATTATTTTGATTAAAGAAAAAAATTAATATTTAAAAAACAAACAAATACAAAAAAAATATTAAATATTAAATATTGTTAAAAATAAATAGTAAGATTAAAGATGAGCTTCGTGTTGCTTCTGTGTCCATTAAGAACCAAAAACTCTGTATTCAAACTTTTTAAACACTCAAAATATGTAAAAGTAATCTTTTTTTGGCCATGTGACAATTTGAAAACAACTTTAGATTTAAGAAAGATTATGCAAGTGCACGTTTGTGTGTATAAAGCCATCAAAATTGGATAATAAATTATTTTTTATTTCTTAATAATAATAATATAATAAGGTCATGCAATTACATTCCCTGTACAAAATGATTTGGTGTGTTCATGAATTAGTTATTTTGGTAGACAATATCTGTTTTTCTGAGCAATAATACTATTTATTAATGAGGTGTGATTTTGATATTAGTTTTGATTATGCCATTAAAATAGCATCATTCTTCATATGTATCCTACATCAAAGGCATCGAGTACTAATGAAATATATATATATATATATATATATATATATAATGCAACTTAGAATAGAGATCAAACTTTTGATAACTCTTTTGAACTATTATCAGTATTTTTAATGTATTTTTAATTTTCTGTTTTATGAACAATGTTATGTTGAAATTTGTAATACTGATATACATGATTAGTACAATTTTTCAACAATATATTTTGTAGGGTAAATCTATCATGAATATTGGAAAGACAAAAAGTAGGGTTCTATATTTAAAAATTATTTGAATTAATACAATATAAGGAATTGGGCTGTACTTTATAAAAAAATTAAATCAAATCAAATCAAAATTCTGTATGTTTATTTCTGAATTATTATATATATATATATATATATATATTGCCAAAGTAAAAACTAATATTGTTTCAAGGTTCATTATATCCTTATCAGTCAAGTTTGAAAGTTGTATATACAACATATATTTTAGACAGGATTTAGTAATATTACTAGGTTTATTGATACAATAATATGAATGGAACAAAAAATTGATCTTTTCTCTCAATCATCTTTTGTTGCCATTTAAATTAGTCTTTTCTTGTTAAATTATACGTATTTAACAAAATTGTTGGATACTAAAAAACTTTATTCTCCTACAGTTATTTTCTATAGATATATATATAGATATACACTCACGATGGTCTTTCTCTTATTTATGCATTATAAAATTGATTCCCCATGACAATTGGCCCTAAATTATGCGGCCACAAGGCTAAAAACAAAACGACATCCGGCACGATGAGGATTTTTGCACGATATCACACAACCTCACTGGACAAGGTGTTAAGCAACATCTCCTTGCACGATTGACCTGCAAAAAACAATGTCTCTAACGGACATATCATTGTATCATTAGAAGTTTGGCGCATGTCTCAAAGGAGCTCCGAAGGGATGAAACCTACCAGTAAGTTATTGATCTCGGCTGCTACTAGTGGCGAAAAAAATCAACTTGGGAGGACACAAATCAGACATATTCATTTGGGTATGAGAACAAGCCGAGAAGCCTTCATTCCATGGCAGGTGCATGAGCATCAGCTCTGAACTATTTCGCTGCATCTTCAGAAAGCAGCTCAAGTGGTGTTGACACAACGTTAGGCTAGAACTTCATGCATGCAGATTGTACTATTTAATGTGTGTTTTAGAAATTGGATTGTACGGTTGGTTACGGAATCGGAAGACTAGAGATTCTTGAGGCATTCGAAGTGCTGTCACGACAGTTAGTGCTTATTGCCCTTTCACCGCTCTGCACTTGCACGGTTTTTAGTCCAGTCAATTCGAAGGCTAGGATGCTAAAAATGAAGAACTTGATGTGGGTGAGAGAATTAAGAACAGTAATGAAGACAGATTATCAAACGGAACAAGATATAGAATTTCAGTTAGGATTCTGGTTAGAAAAGATTCGATGAAATTGGGGCATATACAAATACATTTTCGAAACAAGCATTTACTCATCAGACGGCCCCCCATACTCGAAAAGCTATGAATACTTCACATCACGTATTTTACAAGTCATTTACATGTTGTAAACTACAAGAACAGTGGTAATACTTTCAGATTGTGCTTATGGGAATTTCAAAGGTTTTTACAGAGCGAGTGTCGGAGAACGAATATGGTATTAGTATAAATACAAAAAGCTTTACTACATATACGTAAAACAAAAGCGTGGACATGGTAAACGTTTTCTCCTTTGCTTGCAATTTCAATGATAACACGTTGAACTTGGAATATAAATCATAAGATCAAATGTTGAAAAATAATTTCAGATTCTGATTCATGTGTTCCAAACAAAAATCTGTGAAAGCTATTAGATTGGTTTAGGGAGAAGATACGCCGCAGCAGTTTGAATCGAATTGGAGAAATCCTTGAACACACATACCGACCAGTCTAGAGAATATCGATGAAGCGACCTCATGCTTCCAGTATATCTCAAAAAAAAATCAAAATTCAAAAATAAAAAAGAAACAAAATTTTCGAGCGTGATGCTAAAGAACTAGAACCCACACACTTTTAAACAAAATCGCCAAAAACCTGAAGAATAGTCTCTTACTCCATGGGTGCTGCAATTGGGCCAACCGACAGAACCAGTGGCGTGGTTCTATCTGGGTCTCGCTGTTCTAGAGGCTCCTGTACGCCAGCAAATCCAGCCAAAACAACAATTTCACATCAGCAACGATCTCTTCGTGGTGAACCCATTCAATTCAAAGACATTGTAGAAGGATGGGCCATCTCGAAGTACCGGAGTGGACTGCGGTGGGAGCACACATGCAGATTTTGAATTCCCCATTGCTTGAGGGGAGATGCTTACTATAGACTCAGCCAACGCTGAGTGGGGCAGCGGAGGAAGACACACGGCCTCCCCAGCTAGTCCTGCGACAGGGGTCAGAGAGGGCGTGGCCTTTGGAGGTGGAGACACTGCGGCTGGAAGTGGAGTTGCCAAAGCGGGAAGAGCTTCAGAAGCAGTTCGCGCATCTTCAGGTTTTTCCACTGTTGCTGCCTCAGTGATCTCCTCAGCTGACAAAGCCTGGACTCACGCATGGGATTCAAAGGTTAACGGAAAAGGAAGACCGCTGTAGGATGGCTCAACATATCCCTTGGAATTAGACACAATATTCAAGCACAAAAGATTGGTGCAGATTCTTCAGCTACTAGGATAGTTCCTCCTTCTATCACTTGATTCGCATTCTTGGTAGCAGTACTTAATGGAATTAGTATAGTGAGGATTCATTGAGCATCACTTACTGGGGCTTGTGGTGCAGTATCTGCTGCTTGTTCTACACTTAACATATTGTCACCTGCAGATTTTGCAGCAGAGGCTGTCTCAGATGCCTCCGCGATCACCGGCTTGATGGTGTTTTTGTGTACTGGAGCTCCATCAACAGGAGTTGGCAGCGCTTCTTCACATTTCAATTGCTTCTACGCAGCAATTTCCGCAACCTCAATAAAAACATAATAATAAAGACAAGTCGAATTAAGGTTACTGAGGTTTTAGTTTCTACTCTACTCTTCTCAGTATTTAACTGGTTATGTAAACAATGCATCTCTTAAGTACTTAAACAAAAGTCACATCTTTAAATCTTTAGCTCAAGCATACAACATTGTCTGATTATTGATGAACAAACAGCTGTATTTATTTCCCCAGATTCAACCTCCGTATGCAATGGCACATCACTCCATCACAGAACTAGACTTGTGGAAGGATTGCATCATAATCAGTTGCAAATAAACTATATTACCCTATTATTCAAAATGCAAGCAATAGTCAGAATAGCCATTATAACTTGAAAGGTATGGCACATTCCCAGCTCACGATCTGTTAGTTGGTCATATTCGTCGGGACAAGTGAGAGTTTCAGAACACAATTGTGGAATATAGTATAAGATAATGACAATGCCTCTTACCTCCTGAGCTGCAGCAGCCTTTGTAGCCGATTGCGAGGTCACTGCGGCAGAACTTGGCCCATTTCCTGCCGCATCCTCTTCTCCATTCTGCGCTTCCAGGTGAGCACCGGCCTGCAGGTCCTCAGCATTACTTCCATTGCCCACCTCACCACTTCCGTGTTGATGCTCTGCAGATGGTTTCCCATTTTCTGAGAGGGCTGCAGGAGATGCCTCTATCTTGTTTTCCTCTTCTCTCTGGGTCGCCTGTAAGATTAGGCGAATACTTAAAAGAGAAGCACTGAAACTGAAGACCTCGACAACAAAATGCCTTAAGCTCGTCATTGCTACATTTCGAGGGGTGGGAATGGACCAGGATTTGGACCGTCAACTTACAACACTTGCTCTAATTAGATATAACCCACGTAGAGAAAGTGGAAGCGTAACCTAAATAATCCGAAGAGCGAAAGCAACTGTTTGCTGCTACTTACAGGCAACTTGTTCCAAGGTATGAGCAAGTATGTAATCGTCAAAGTGATCATGGCTACAACTAGGACATTAGAACCACAAAACTCATGGAAGCTTCTCCCTCTCTTTAAAACAGAAACCTCCAATAACATTAGGCAATGATGAGAATATTCACATTAGGAGTCACGTCCGTGAGTTTTGCGTGTTGATTCCGTTCCGGATCTTCGGCAGGACGTTTCGCTACTGGGGCGGGCTCTAGTTCTGCCTCTGCACCACGTTTAACAGCCAATGGCTGAGGTACTGCTTCTTGTACATGTCCTGCCATATCTCTTCGCGCACTGGGATTTGCAGTTGTCAAACCTCTTCACGCGTATGTGAGTCTGCACAGCACAGTCGTAAAAGAAACATTTGTAAACCGGCCTTGGGTCCCAAGGTGACACGTTGATCAACAACTGCCGAGAGCATCGGACGTTGTGCTGCTGACCCAGGCAAGAAGGGCATAAACCCCTACATAACTGACAAGAAGCTAAGATTAAGACCGCACAATGCAAGCCAATTCCTACAAACGTAAACTTCACGCTTACGTCACACAAGCAACCACAATTTAACGGCAAATTCCAGCATAGAGGGCTTAATGACATATTTGTGGAAAACCCCAGGACAAACTCAGTCTCTCGCACCCACTCTTGTACATTCGACCACGTACTACGTTACAGCCCAACACAACATCAGTGGTGTCGATATGAACAGAAGAAAGTGAAGCTTTATGCCCAAGAATTAAGGAAACGCCTAAGTTGATGTGCTCACATGCATACATCAGCTTAGACATCAACGTATCTATTTCGCGTTGTAGTTGCCAAATCTGCGTATTCTGACGCACATAAAACGCATTTGACCAACTCGAACAGTGGCGTAGATAACTGCCCAGAAGCCTTGGCAGAGAGGACCTGAACTATTTGAACACCATGTTTCGCATATGCGTTCACTGTACTGAGCGCACCGATGAGGAATTAAACTTGTACAACTTGCATATCTACTGGTCAGGGACTGGTAAACTCTTCACAGAATATCCCCACTCACTTGGTGGATCAGTGGTTTATGTGATCGATCAGTATCGTAAAGGGAACACCGAACGTTCCATCAACATTGTAGTTGCTTCCAAGGCTATCAGTGCCAATCGCAAATACGATGCCGTACACTGGCACGATTTTCTGCTTGCAAGTGAACGTCGGTCCCGGAACCATCAATTGCACGTACAAACACCACACTGTCTCAAGGCACGAACGCCAAGTATTTCTCAAGGACCCGCCTTAAACAAGTTTTCCCAGTCAGTTTTCCTACTCAGGTATGTAAACCATAACACCTTACCTTCAAGCCAAAGGACCTACTTCGATCTTAACACGACGAGCCGAGAAAACATCAAGCGTGACACCTCGCCCTGACTAATGCACACCAAACGTTGAACGGAAACCAACACAAGAGAGAGAGAAAAAGAAAGAAAAAAAAAAAAAAAAAAAAAAAAACGTATGATGAGCACAATTACGCTCCGAGATGGGTAAATCGCACCCCCGACACAACAAAGCCCAACTTCACTAGCATCCCCAACGGTCTCACAAACACCATCCACCTCCCTGGTTCGACCGATTCTCTGCTAAAACTACGCCCACCTACACGACAGAAGAGAAGTGTAACGCAAAACCCATTCAATACCAAACCTGAAGCGCCACCAGGTTTCTCGGATTCTCACACCGGCAATGAGCAACGGCATAACTAGAAACCTAGTGTGACTGCAGGCAAGGCTGAGATTCCTATGCACTACTACTGCAACGGGGGGAACTCTCATGACTCGAATCCGCCTCGTTCGTCGCATCGACTGACAACCACCACCGTTACGCAACACCAACAAGACTTGGCATGGAAAAAGGCTTCACACCCTCACGGTCTCGTACACGGAGTTATTGCGCTCATTAATGCCAAGCGCCTGCGATCGCAAGCAGCCGCAACAACACACTTCAGCTGATCAAACTCCTTCCCCTTAATGCCGAGTCTCACCTCCGCTGCTTCCTCCTCCACTCTCTCGTTTTCTGCTTTTCTTCCACGAGCCCCCAGCGATGGGAACTTGTGAGGGAACGTTGGATGCGAACTCCCGGGAGCTTAAGAGGGCGTGGGGAACATAGGACGGTAGGCTTGGAATTAAGAAAGGGAGGGGTGGGTCCTCGACTGTTCTGTGCGTGGGTGAGGAGTCCACGACAGTTCTGAGTGGAATTTCGTCTTTGATGCACCTTAATAACGCTTGTGGATGAATGTAGAATGACTCCAGTTCCGTATTATTTGTTTCATTCTTTGTATTGTTTTCTTTCGTTTTGCCCATTTGTGTTGCCGTGCTTGCTACCATTTGTCAATGGAATAAAAAATCTCGTGGAAATTCTTTCTTTGGTAAAGTATTCTTTTCACCTTTTTGAAAAACAAGTATTAATTTATTTTTTAAAAAGTTTGTGTTATGTAGAATATTGTCACTTGGATTGTGATTGAATGCTGATTTTGACCGGCATGGTACATTGCACCATCCCCATTCATTGCCATGATGGTCCTTATTGGAAAACACTTACTCAATTTTTCACATACATTTATACATGTCCTTGAGGGAAGGTCAACATTTTCCCACATTTTCATTCCCAATCTCCAATCTTGTCACACAATTTCATTTCATTTTCCAAAAAAGCATAAGTTTAGTTTCGTTTCTTCGTATAAACTCCATCATTGTTCTACTTATCGATACTCAAACACACTAGATTTTTCTTAAACGATGGGAGTGAAAAAGAGAAACTCTTTGTAAGAAATAATAACACGTGTATCCAGTACCGTTGAATTTTATGTTGAAACTGTAGGTTTTACTCATTCGTTCAGTAATTCCATATCAAATTTTAGCAGTAAAAAGTTTCCAGAAGCAGAAACCACAGCCTAGGATCCGATTTATGAAACGAAATAGGTAAAACGATGTAAATATTTTTCATTAATGACGATGTCTAGGAGCTGTCAAATTTGAAGCGAAGGGTACTTGGCAACATGTAATTGCTACATAATTATTTTTATATTTTATATCACATAAAACTTCTTTCAATTCTCAAGCTTTCTTTCTGGGCTTTCACGCTGTACCTGTACAAATTCTGTCAGGAGGTGTAAAGAAACTGGGGTCCACGCCATTCAACAAATCGAATGGGATTTCATCGCCATCAATTTCCAGCGTTGGAAACATCACCAAAGAAACGCATTAAAAACCTTGTTTCGAATTACGGTCTTGGAACTCATCAACGCTTTACTAGTACAGCAGTCGAAGCCAACTAATAGAAACCACATTGAAACACTATAGCCTTCCCATCGGAGAACCTCCAATCGCCTCAGTTATAACTCGGCATTAATCCATGCCTTGCCAGTCACGGCCAAGTTGGGCGAGGCATCAGAATCAGTGAATCAGGAGGTTCCACACTCGCAACAAAGAGATCGCAACCTTTGCTCGCTTCAAACCGTCCATCGATCAGTCCAGACGATGTCATTGTATCAATGAAGCTCTCTCACTGGTCGAGTATTTTCGTGTAGTCTTGTTTGCAAACGCTTGGTCTAGTTTTAGTGTCCAAGTCAGTTTGTTAGAATCCAGTACGAGCTCGTCTTGTTGCAAGTTGGAACGTGAATCACCACGACTTTGAGGAACATCACAGTCCTAATGTCGATAACGAGACTCGGGTCCTTCATGAAGGGCTCGCTTAGCTTCGATCATACAGAGCGTAGTTCCTGTGAATGTAGTGTGACAGTCGATCCGTTCTAATGATAAAAGCAAGTCTACTCTGAGACTCGGAGCGCAAAAGAAAAGCTAATACAATCAGCAGTTGGGCACATTGGAGGCGAGCGAGGTGGCGAACTGTGAGTGAGGATGGGGCCTGCGATGTTGGTGATTGATTCACGATGCTTCTTTACCTTGACATCCTGTTTTCTTTTTCTTTTTCCCTGAACTTTCTTTTTCTTTATGCTCCACCTCGAATCTTTTCTTTCTCTCTTCTTTTCGTTTCGATTCTTTATCTGGAAAATAATATATTTACCGATTCCCGACTATACCCACGTTGTGGCTCTCGCTTGATGTAATGGAGAATGAAGTCAATTGTAAAAGAAGGCGAGGAAGAGAACAATAAAAGGAAATACATACGTGCATACATATATAATTACGTATATATGCCCTAAACCCTGAACCCTAAACAGATATAGGATCGGAGTTGTGCTCTTTAAGTTGGATGATTTAGGGTTTTGGTGGTGGAAGTTCATTAATAAAATAAAATTCGTGGATAGACACGAACCTTGATATTTCTTTTCCAAACAAGGTGATTATGATTCAAGGATAAAGTGAGAGACTTAAATTACTGAGAATGTCCCTATTTTTCTTCGTTATCTATCTTCTTCTTCTTAATTAATTAATTATTTTATTTATTTTTATTTTAATACTTAGAGAGATTAAACTCAGACTCTTTTGTTAATTTTTTTTGAAAATCTATTGCTTCAAGTGGATTTGTTTGATGCATATGTTGTGGGCTTTTATAAGTTTAGATCATAATTTTTTTCATGTTGAAATGGACAATGTGAAGTTTGGTATGTGGATAGAGTAGTTTTATGAAATCTTAAGGTTTATCAAGTAGGATGCAGATATTTCCTAATGATATTTTAGCACTAAGCTAAAAAAGAAATTTCTATGTTTAGAGTATATAATCAACATAAAATACTCATTTTATTCTGACTGATTAAATTTTTTGTTAATGATAAAATTATTTACATCATGTAATGAGACTGTGCTAAAAAAAAGCCGATAATAGATGATGGGCAAGAAGTTCATAAATTATCTTCACAATCATTTCATGTTTTAAAGAAATGATGGGATAATTAAAGTTGCAAGAATTCTCATTGGGTACATCTTTTGGTGCAAAATTATAAAATTGTAGCCTTTTTTTACTGCATGTCACCTTACTTCTTATTATGTAATTTATCCCATTTTAATTTTTTCCCTCACATTAGTTATTTATAGAGATAAATAAATATAATGTAATTTGGTATTGCACAAACCAACTTTTTGTATCATATTACATGCAAAAAAATATTTTAAAATAGAATTGTGAGTGTTTTTAAAATTTTAAAAGGAATGATAATAACCAAGCAAAGTATTTCCCATCAGGTTATAAAATTTTTATTTGAGATAAAAGTAGAAATAATGTGTGCATGGTAAGAGTTAAGGTCACTTAAACTTGAGCTCTAATTTAATTTAATTTATTCTTAACTCTATTAAAACCACACACACAGTTCTAAGAATGGTTCTAGGTTTGGACAAAAAGCTGATTCCAATAAAGTTGATGATATACTTTTGAAGTCGTCGAAAGTGTGTCGAATTCGACATCTGGATTGAGACCCCAGAAAGTTTCGAGACGTGGGTGGGCCTTATCCACGGTGGCACTGAAGCCATCCACGGTAATGAGGCGAGAAGAAATCAGGGGGGCCGGTAACCGGACAAGCCTGTGGAGGCTCACACGCCAGGGGCAGTGGAAGCGTGACGACGCTCAAGGCGCCCCCACCCTCACCCCTTTAGACAGTGTTTAGTTAGGTACCAGATTTCGAATTTGCTGTTTTGTTGAGCTTCAGAGAATTGGCCATGACTGCTCTCGCGTCCTCCTCCATGGCGGTGTCGTCGACAGCGCTCTTGCAGAAACCTGGCTCAGCGGCAGGCCATGTGCTGCAGAATTCGTTTCTGAGTGGGAGTGTGTCGTTGCCGAGGGCCGCAGCGAGCTGTGGCAGAGTGGCATTTGCTAGGAAGGGGCTTGTAATCGTAGCAAATGGGAGGAAGAAAGCAGTCGTGGAGAAGGACGAGAGCGAGGTTGACCAGCGATTCAGGCTGAATAATTTGTCGCCGCAGCCGGGGTCCAGGCACAGACAGAAGAGGAAGGGGCGTGGTATTGCGGCAGGGCAGGGAGCTAGCTGCGGGTTTGGTATGCGAGGGCAGAAGTCGAGGTCGGGGTCGGGCGTGCGCCCGGGATTCGAAGGAGGTCAAATGCCATTGTACCGGAGGTTGCCGAAGCTGAGGGGGATTGCGGGAGGCATGGGAGCTGGTTTGCCTAAGTACGTGGCGGTCAATTTGACCGACATCGCTGAGAGCTTTCAAGAAGGTGAGGAGGTTTCGCTCGAAGCATTGAAGGAGAGGCGCGTGCTGAATCCCTCGGGTCGGGACCGGAAGTTGCCGTTGAAGATTCTTGGTGATGGTGAGCTTGATTTTAAGGTGAAGATCAAGGCTGGTGCCATTTCTGCTGCCGCTAAGGAGAAATTGGAGACCCTCGGATGTGAATTTGAAATTCTTCCTAAGAAGAAAAAGTGGCTCTCTGCTCAGTATTTGAAGAACCAAGCACGTGCGGACGCGTACTTTGTCAAGAAGAGAGAGGGGAGCGCATAGATTCAAGACATGGTTGAGGTTTTTCGTAATACTTTTTGTCTCTTACTTATCAATAGCTTTATTCTTGTTAACTAATGTAGGAAAGAGAATTTTTACCCGTTTCATTAATGAGCAGTTTTCGTTACGTACAATGTGGTCTAGGTCGTTTCCATTTGATTACATTATTTAGTTGCTTTGAAATTTGGTGGACAATTGTATGCAATTCTTCGTGAGCTTTTGGATAGAAACAGCGTTGCCGTCTCTGCGACAGTGACATAATTGGATTTTGATTCTCCACCACAATTCGGTTTTATTTGTCGAAAAGTTCCCTGTTTAGATGGATAGTGTGCAATCGTGACTGCATACATGACTAGGGTGCAGCAGGTTGAAATCCTTCGTTATGAGGTTGAAATGGATACCTGTTCTTAGGTTATAGTAGCCACACATACATGTGTTACATCCAAGTTGAGAAAAAATGATCTTCTGAATTATTGTGCCTTTAGGGTTTGCCTTCTTTTGTGACTTGCGGCTTTTTGAGCAGTTCATGGTCGCAAGAATGAGTCGTTGACATCAATGTGGATTTTGTTTTCTCAGAGAGAATATTCACATGAATTTTTTTCATTAGATCAGATTAGTTGCATCAGTTTACTAAAGAATTTTTTTTCTTCTACAATTTTCTCCAATCAAATTTACATGATACATTTATAAACAATGTATGACGATGCTGTACACTAAAAAAGCAAAGGACCTTTCACGAGTTCTTACAGAATCCGCGTATTAAGGTCGCTGTACGGTATTGGTCGTGCAATATTATGTACTTATGAACAATTTCTTTTAGGTTTACAGTCCATATGAACGAAGTGGATACTCGCAGTACAGTTCTTCCTAAGCTCTGCGGGTTCCGGCATCAGAAACGCTCTCTAGATCAAGTTTCAAAAAAGATTAAATCGATATCTCCGGCGCTATGTCGAGTAGCCTTTTATCATCATGCCCCTCACTTATACGGATAGAATTAATACGTCCAAAGTAGCCAGCCTAAGGTTTTCTCCTCAGAGAAGGCTACTCAAGAAATATGTGTAACAATATAGTCTTTCTCATTGGGTAATATTTTCTGCAGCTACTGATTTCTAGCAGTTCTTATCTCTGGTAAGGTTGATCAATGACGAGATGAGAACGGCAGCTACGATGCATCAATAGTGTCGCGAATCTAGATCGGCTTAGAGTTTCTCCATGAGAGTTCACATCTTTCATCAACTTAACCCTAGTGGACTTTACAGAAACACCTGCTCGTCTTTCGCAGCATTATACCTCTTGCTGGCTTATAAGTTTACCAGAATATGAGATGGATTGGCGTCCTGGTAGCACAAGTTGCGTCCGAGTTTCGGTCTCCGTGCGTTTGTCCAACTTCGCTGACTGCTTGAGAAACTGATTACACTTGCGATTGCGTCATTTGCACAGTGAGTAGCTCATCAATTTGCAGGAGGCAACCATCCAGGGAAACCTTGTCCTGGACGAGGAACACCAAAGTTGCCTGGATGTCCAGGCCCCCAACCGTAGTCTGTAATTGACTCCCCCAAATTTGGCCGGGTACCGATTAAAGCAGCCCGCTGAGGAAGGTGCCTTGGTGGTGGTGGTGGTGGAGGAGGAAGATGCCCTTCATGAAACCTGGGTATGCTGATGGGAGGTTTAATGGTCCTAGGGTGGCCAAATTCAGGTAAAAAATGTGGCCTAGGGGAACCGATTTGTGGCCCATATCTATCTTGTAGCATTCCACCCATTGGCCGTATATGTCCGAAGCTATCAGGGGGCCTCCGGGGACATCCATTCGTGCCATATCCGTCTTGCGGGATGAGATTCACAGGCCATCCTCCTGGCGGTGGTCCTGGAGGAGGCATTGCTAGGCTCGAGCAAAATTCTCTGTGAGATTCAAGCCGGAGAGAACAACCTCCAGATTCACGGAAAGTGGGAATTTTTTGAAGATGATTGGGTGGAGGGTAGAGCGGGGGAAGTGGCAGAGTTGAAGGCTGTTGGCAATGTTGAGCTTGCAGTACACGTTCTCTTTGCTTTGGCAGGTCTTTCGAAGATGACAGAGACGACGGTTGATGTCCACCTCGTGGCCCTCGACCACGTTCTCTTTTCCTTAAACAGTGATAAGGGCCTGTGTCACTTCTCCTGTCCCTCTGGCTCTGCCCTTCATGTGCCTCCACTTTATATATGTCTCTCAATTTCTGTCCTTGTTGAGTTGAATCCCAGCTTATATGTTCTTGTTGCTGTCTCGAATCTACATTCCCTGTAATAGAATATGAAAGGCCAATATGTTCGTCCCTGCTTTGAATGGACCGTATAGGAGGAACTTGCGGATTCTGATGAGAAATTTTAGATAGCCGTTGTGAATCTTCTTTTTTGAGGATGATCACTTGCAAACTGGTGGAGGAGTTCCGTCTTCGAATTACGAGATCTGATTGAGATTGACTAGCGTCTTCAGGTGGGATCTGTACACTGAGCAGAATGTCTCATTGAGGTAGGAACCGATTGTGCATTTGCGTGTTCCAGCTTGTGCGGAAGGATTGAAATCAAATTTACAAGGTGCTTGAGGGCTAGCTGACTTAGCATTCGATGTAGCATTTACACCTTCGTAATGATTTGACTGTTGAGCGAGATTACTGATATTGTACACGGTCCACAGTCAAGGTTCTAAAAAATATGACTTAAATGGAGTTTGATGACCTTCAGATCTTCGTACCTGGAGCTGATTAGGAGTGATTTTTGTTGATTCGGGTTGAGAAGGTTGTGAGTGGTCATTGGCGATGTGCCACTCAAAATCGGGCCGCAATACAAAAGACCGCAGACAGCCAGGGACACCGCAGATGTATATGCCGACACTTACATCTACTTTCTGAATTCGTGCCACTTTTCCTTTGCACCTGCATCCCATAATCCATATCATCACCTAGCAGCAGGAGGCCATTCAAATCGTCGGAAAGAGGACATTCACTTTGAGGTGCCCTTCTATAAGAGTTCAAAGCTGCATCCTGACTCGTCCAAAATTTTCTATAGCAAGTTGCGTTCAGAAAAAGTACTGGGTTAACTTTGATGTTACAAGCAGTTGTTGGCGTTGTTCGCTACGTTAGCACCAGTCTTGATAGAGCTCAAACATCAAGCATCTCATCACGTAGAAGAAGAGTTATATATAATCAAGGAGAGGTTATTCTAGAGAATTTTATGGCTCTTTACTTTCCCAACTTGATAAGATTTAGTACCAGGGGTGAAGAGCGTACAAGAAACATGTAGAATCATTTTCGGCACAAGCAAGGCACAACACGTGATGGCATTGTTCCTGCAGAAAATCACCAAGTAGCATCATGTAATTCTCAGAGTGTAAAATTGACACATGAAGCAACCTCGTCACAATGCAAGTCGTTTTATGGCGAAAGTTGATTATGCTTAGGGGAGGGGGAACGAAAGCTGAGGGTTATACCATGCGGCCATAGACAGCAATCGGAAAATTGCACCTCAAGCAGATGTGGACCTTCTCCCCAGATTTGCGTTGCGCTTTGAATCCTACTATATTCACTGTGCAAATGTCGGACCACGAAAATCCTAATCCATTTGCATGAGGCAAATCCGCACCAATTAGCTTCGAGGGAAGAGACGCCTCATTGGCCTCCAATAAATTTTGCTCTGCTTTCAACCCTGAATTGCCCCCTGCCTTGCTGAGTCGTATCGTTAAATTCACCATTTCTTTAGACTCGACTACATGTCCTTATTTCAAGACGAATTCCGTGGCAGCACTTCAATCAACTTAAACACCAAGAGTCCACTAATACTCCGGCTTGCTAAACCCTCATAATGCTGCAAAAGCCAGAAGATACCAGGTACAAGCGAGCTCTACAATATCCCACAAATGAAGAATGTTGTATCTGTATGATAAGCAAAGTCTTGACAGAACGTGCTAAGCATACTGGTAATGCGATGGCAAGCCAGAACACAATGTTCAACGTTAATCTATGAGTCCTAATTGTGATAACTAGCGAGATATAAAGTGACGCAGACTATAGAAATGGTCCCAAAAAATTACCTAAAGAAAGAATCCTTCACTCATGACCATCAACTGAAGACCCAACAACTGGACTTATTTACAAGATCACATTTTAAAAATATCCGGTACAGGTATAGTACAACAGGAGCGCGCAAAGCACCCAAAAATAACAGGACAGACAATGTAATGCGGGTCACGAGGACTCCCAAAGGAACGTCGAACAGACACTCAACTCTCAGTTGCGCTAACAATCACATTCGACCCTCTTCAATCCCGCCTCTCTTGTATTATTTCATATAAAATTCACAAAAATGTGAAAAAAAATTCAGTAGAATGAATCAAAATACCAGCCTCACGTCCCAATTCGGCCCAATTCCACCCCGAATGAAATCAAGAACCCCTCCAACCCTCGCTTCAACACATTGCCGACAGCGAGTGATTGAAGCTCAAGAGACTTCCAAGACCAAAAAGAAGGCCGTAACCGAATTTTCGAAGGTTCTGAGAGATCCGCGACGCGCCTGAGACATGCATGGCGATGCACAATAGGGGGTGCGTGTGTGCGAAAGAGCATGAGAGAGTGGCGATGGCGAAGCTGCAGGAACAACAGCAACGGGGCGAGGAACTTAAGCAAGCAAGCAAGCGCGTAACGGCGCGGGAGCGGACGAAGGGAGACGAGTCGCCACGGTGGCAGGTGGGCGGGTCCAGCTGGCGACTCGCCCATGGGTCTGATTGGCTGTTGCTGTTCCGTTCATAACTGATGTGGCGTGGCGTGGTGCTGATGCGTCCGAACGAACGGATGAAGCTTGGATGAGGAACATCTGCGCGACGTGTTTTCATTCATCTTAAATTAGTGGGTCCCTTTAATTCTATTCATGGGTCTACAAAATCCACCATTAGGATGATTATTTATATATTTATTTATAATTCAATTAGATTTACGAATTTACATTGTTTTAAATTTCATTTCAATTATTTTTTTGCTAATTGAAATCAATTTTTTGTTTTATTGCTTTACATTGTTTTTATGTGGACCACTTTCATACATTTATGTGACATGATTTGATTGAATGCTCCATAGGGAATATTATAAGATCACAAAAGTGTTCAATAATGTGATGTAATTTTTTTGGAAAAATGAAACATATTATTTTATAAAAATTATTGTATGTTGCATTAAACTTATTTTTTTAATCTTCACAACAACTAAGATTTAAATTACAAGTTCAATTATTAACTTCGTGAGAATATTTGGTTAAAAGAATTTATTTATTTTTATTTTTTTAAATACCAAAATTTCATTTATTCTGTTCTTATTTTAATGTGTATATATAGTGAAAATACAAATACCTTCAATCTATAGAAATCACAGAATTTTTTGAATATTTTTGAAGCTTTATCTTTAATTAGTATTATGATTTTAGTTTGTAAATGGTTGTAATTTGAAACAAATTAATTTTAATTCTAAATATAGAGCACTTATGACTTGTAAGATTTGAAAATACTTGAAGATGTAACTTTCATCTCATGTGCATGTAATGAAAATATGAATAATGTAACAGATATTTTAATGCAATCAGATCTTTAAATAATGACTCATTTTGATCATCACAACAAATTATTGATTTAGTTTGGTGATTTCAGTTGCATATACGTTTTGTAAAGTACTAAAAAATAAAAGTGTATCTAAGATATACTTGTAATCCTTGAAACTTTATTAAAGATAATTCATAAAAAATATATATATATATATATATATATATGACATGAAAATAAAATAAGAAATTGTAGTTTTAAAAGCTAACTTACCATTTAACATCGCAACTACAAATAAAAAATATTTTTGCTTGTATACAAAGTTTTTTTTCTTTATCTTTTATATCCTTTATTTATATCAATCAATTAGATAAGTTATATGATAATACAATATTAAAATCTAAATAAATAAATTGTTATTAAGCTACTATTTTTTTATTTGATAATGATATTACTAGTATGTTTTTAATTACAATATCTCAAGATCATTCATATACATACAAAACATATTGAAGAGTTCTAAGTCAAATTATTACTATTTATATATTATCACTATTTAGTTATAAAAAAATACACCTAACTTCTTCATATATATATATATATATATATATAGTATTTTTATTTTTTTTCTTTCTAGATTCACTTGCTTATCAATACATCCAATCAACATCAAAATATTAAATTGGGAAATTATCAAGATCATTTTGTATAGAAATTAGTGTATTTAACTGAATTAATAAAATTTATCTACATGGCTTGATGAAAAAAAGACAACAATTTATAATTTTGTACCCGTTTGTCAACATGACTGGTGGGTAAGTCAGGAATTGTTGAGTGTAAGAATCGTTGATGAAGAAGTATTGATGAGCTAATAAAGCAAAAAGAATGTTGACTTGAAACCAGTGGATTCATTGGAAGTTCAATACTTTTAGTGTCTGATAAACTCGTGAGGATCACATGCAATGTCTAAAAAAAAAACACATTAGACATGGGAAGCTGCAATTGAAGTTTTCTAAAATTTAATACATGAGGGGCCAGAAGCAAAGACTTTAACATCTTTTTTGTAAGACGAATTGAAATGCTCTTGAAGTAGTAATAATCAGTAAAGCCTTATGTAAGATTTATTATGGCTTCATTGCAGCTTTAGAATTGAGCAATAAGTTGTGAGAATATCCATTGCAACTCAGGAAACGTTGATATATTAAACTCAAAGGATTCAACGTTGAATTGTTTTTAAGATACAAAGGGTGAGAGCTTCTTTTAGAAACTGGGCCCATAAATCATATACAAGTGTATTATCATGTAACCCTCTTCTACTCTACACACCCCAACAGTCCAACTAATAATAAAAACTTAACACATTATATCAACTCAACTTCACCTTAGATACTGTATTCGCTATACAAATTTTAATCCTACTTCACCTCTTCACACTAGTGATTAACTTCTTTCAGAAAACAAAACAAGCCAATGAACCTATTAAAAAAAAAACAATAGAAAAAACTTCCCCCAATATATTCAAATATTAGAAAACCCTGAACCGTTAGCCAGGGGTCCCTAAAACCCTAACCCTAAAGCATGGGTTATGCGGTGGGTTTGACCTGTGATCTGTTTGTGTGAGAGTCATGCTTGTCCAGGAGGAAGTCCCTCACCTTGCGGTTGAACTCCGTCGGCCTCTGGATCTGTGGAGAATGGCCGCACTTGTTCATCACTATAACCTTGGCACGCTTCCCCAAGTGCCTGCTCATGGACAGGATAGATCATTATTGGTAGCTTGTTCAATAAAAAATTGACTAAAACTAAAAACACAGTTTGTAAACTGATGTTTGTGTCAGCGAACTGCTCTCTTTTCCAGCACGAGTAGCCCATGTAGCTGACCAACATCTAATGTAACTAATTGAACCCTGATCTGATTATAATGCACTGTTTGTCCTGGTTCAGACTTAACACACTTTACATGTTATTCAACACCCACACCTCAGCCAGTTTTTGGTCGGGGTTCTTTCCCCGATTTGTTAGTTACCACAGTTGTTTTATCCAACATGAGTTATTCGCATATTAGAAAACTGGTTTCTGTTTGTGTTTTTAAGTATTGTTTTCTATGGGAGGTGTCACACCCACCCCAAACCTCATGTTTTAATCCTTGATAGGTATCAGCTTTGTTCGGTTCTGACCTCCATAAGTGTAGGGTTTGAATACGCTGCTGTACAATGGAAATTAGTTTTCCCGTATTCCCTACGACTAGTCTTTAATACTAAAAGACGCCCATGGTTCTGCTACAGTAGAATCAAGTTACCATTGTGCTTTCTAACTCTACGTAGTGAAACACGACTCTCAGATCCGATGATTGGTGCAAGAGTGGACCAGCAGCTATGAGGTACTCCTTGGTGTGTTCCACAATCACACCCATACTCTACTAGGCATACGATGAGGAAACCAGGAGAAATTTACTGTAGTTAACTCTTCCCTGATTCAAGGAAACGAATCTAGACTCGAATTTCTAAGACTTAATCTACTGATTAGCTGGAAGAAGTCCAGGCTACTCGAATCTTTATGTTTCAGACTTTTTCTTATCAAATGATTTCTATAGATGAATAACAATCACACTGAGGTTCATCGACGTTGGAAACAAGTCCGTCGTTGGAAGAAACTACGAGAAAGTCGCGCAGCTAACCAGTAGAGGAATTTGAGTCAGGACTGAAGATTTTCTGGGATAAGCTTAAGAGATTTCAAAAGTTGGTCTTGTGTCTAGTGATTTTGTTCTTAATCAAGTTATCTATATCCATTTTTGCGAGGATGATCATAAGAAGAGGTTACAAATAAAAGTGCAGGATATTCGGATCTCCAACTTCAAGGCATGGCGTGAAGGAAAGGGAGTCTTACCTTTGAAGCTTGTTTGCCAATTCGGGTTTGAAGACCTCATCATGCTCTCCCCAGAGAATCAAAAACTTCTTATCCTATCACAAACAAATTGCTTTTAGCTTTGCTTGAACGAGTCAATGCTCAGACTGTGTAAGACGCTTCTGAAGGGTCATTACAGGAGAAAATGGATACTTGACAATTTAGCGACCTAGTTTTGAGGGTGTGATGTGCTTTCATTGCAGTTCTTCACACCAAAGCAGTGGGAATCAACGAAAAAGATTCTAAATTTAGGAATTTATCATGTTACTTGTGTACGACAACATCATTCTGTAACTTTTTTGACACAACCTGTATGCACCAAGATAGACTTGAGGTAATACATGTGCCAATCTGGGAAGATCTTTTCCAGTTTCGATGGTGAGATCGTCCAATAGTTGTCGTCTTTCTTGTTGGTGGTCCTTGTATAGCACCTGGAGAAGAGCAACAAACACTGAACTTTGGTTAGATGCGACCATATGCATAAAAATTTATTCGTCGATCTTTTCAATCGCCAAAGAAATAATAGTCGCGCATGAAGCCACTAAACCACAAGTCCGTTCTGTGAGGAACTCACTGAATCTTAGAGTTCATCGAAGAAAACACGAAGAATTCATGTGTATTCAGATTGGACAAGGCGGCAGAAAACACTCAAAAGGGTCCATAGGCAAAAGTGTACATTCAATAGTTTGCCATATAGGTCTGCAAGAGCACGTCGGTTTATTCTCATGCTAGCAAGTGAATGGATATTGAAATAAGTAGAAAACATACTTCAAACATGTCCTCGTAGACAAATTTCGGCAGCCAAGGCTTCCAATGTGGTGCACTTGCCATGGCAAACTTGAACTCCTCAACAGACTCCGGGATAAACAAATGAGAGATGTGCTGCAATCTGTGCCTCACTAACAACGCGTCGTAATCATTTGGTGCCATACATATTCCAGTATTCGTGAATACTACTTTGTTCACGAACTTGGGATAAAATTGTGCAATTCGGAACGCCACTAAACCGCCATAGCCTGATCCAACAAAGTTTACATCTTCCTGTAACCCTAGAAACTGCAACATCTTCATGATGCACTCCGCTTGAAATGACTCCGTCCATCTTTCCTTGCATGATGTCACAGAGCGCCCGAGAAACACAAGATCCGGCACGAACACATTGAAATCCTTTGACAACTTTGGGACCTGATTCTCCCAGAATAGCATACCATTTGGTGCAAAACCTTGAAGGAGCACGAGATGTGGCTTTGAATTTGGAATAGACCACACTCCGGCTTCTGACATTGGCATTGGTGTCCAGCAGTGCATTTTTGTGGCACCATTGTCTAACTGAATGAACTCCGACCTCAGCCCCCAGTACTCATACTTCTTGGTAAGAATTGATAGTCTTAAATCTGTCAAAGTAAAGCCTGTACAAGCGCTACCCATCTTGCCGATAAAAAAATAAAAATAAAAAATAAAAAAAAGAAAAAAAGCTTACTTCCACAATATCTCCGGCTCTCAAATGTTCCGCTCAAACACTTCGAAAGTAAATCTACTTCAGTTCAAATAACCCGGCCACCTAACGCCATGTTCAAGCTTCCTGTAATTAAAAACCCAACCAGTCGCAATATCTGTAGCAACTAAACGACATCCGAAAGAAAGCTTAACCCTCATATAAGCGTTAGTTCACAAAACTCCAACACAAACCCTCTTGAAACTGCACAACTGGTTCAAAGCAAACTCGACCGGCATTCTCTGCACAAACAAAAAGTTGTAGGGAATTGCGCTGCTTCCAACGATCTGTACTGCAAAAGTTAACCTGGAACACGCTGTTGGAAGAGTCAAACGTTGTTCACCATGGTCCAAATCTCATCAACAACAACGTCACTTATTTGCAGACCTCAAAAGTCTTGTCAGAGAAAAAAGGGAAAAGTCTGTCGTTTCATTTTAGAATAACTTGCTTACAAAACCAAACAATCATCTCCTGCTCATCATCTGTTTCTGACCAGTGAGAAGAATCATCAACATTCTCGAAAGCAATAGCCTCCAATAACGTGATTAATCTTCCGGCTGCACCCACCAGCTGAGAGTCCAACTCCAAGGACCCGGCCCATTTCAGGAAGATGAATAATAATTCATTCAGAAAATTACAAAACAAAACTGTGATTTGGGTTTGGAGAATCGGAATAACTTGGAAGTTGGCACAACCCACAATCCAGCTGTTGGTGGCTGATCTTCAACAGGAGCTTTGATTCTTCCCTAAATCCAGGGGAAATGGAAGCAACCGAGTGGAAGACCCAAATCATTGATTACTACCACTTTCTTAGCCACCTACTACTGGGGTTTTTTTTATAAATGTAACAAGTACATTTTATTGTGATTTTATGCTACTCTATTTCTGATGTTTAGTACTTTGTGTGGTAGGTTGGGTTGTTATTACCTATTTCAATTCTAAATTTGAGAGAGGATCTATTTTTCACAAAATAGGTGATTATTTTGTAATGGCCTATAATTTTTCTTTTATAGATACACATATTAGTCAACAAGAGCTATTAATGATTATAAATAGGTTCAAACAAAATCTAGCACCAACCAAACCTATTTATTTTAATTTTTTAAAGTTTTGAACAATTTTGAATGATGAAAATTATAATGATATTGTGGAAGTTGTATAACAAGTAATTTTTATTATTGACAACCATTTTATACAATTATTATAATTTATTCTTATAGAATGTTAAAGATACATGGTAAAAATTCTACTAATCTTTTTTGTTTCATTATTATCCTTTGAATATAAATTTTTGTTATACTTTCTAAATTTCTTATTATATATATCAAATTGTTATATAGGTGTAGAATTTATCATTAATATCACTAAATATCTTTAGGCAATCTATGCAATCACATATTAGAAACATAAATGATAAACAACCAAAGAGTCAATATATTCTTAGATCACTCCAAAAGAGTAGATATTCACTCAAAGATGGTATAATAATATGACTAAAATGGCTATTGCCAAAGACAAGAAGACTAAAAATTCTAGAAATAAGACCAAAAAAAAAAAAAAAAAAAAAAAAACATTGAAAATATTGAGAATGTTTTAGAGAGAGAGAGAGACCGATTAGCTAGAAGTAATAAGCACATACATGTAAAACACACACACACACAAGAGAGTTTATTGATATGGTTATCTCACTTATACAAAGAGAAGGAGTAAAGATAAATAATTTCTCTCCACTACATTCCAAATACTGTAGCTACAGTATTTACTGTAGACTACAATAAATAACATGAAAAGTAGTGGCTACATTTAATGCTCTCAACACTCCTCCTTACTTGTCATAATATTTATATGCATAGAATTATGATTTATACTTTTTTGTAATCTCGCAGAATCAACAATTGTTTCCTCAGTAAAATCTTATTTAGAAAAACTTTATTGTATTTAAGAACAAAACCACAAATGAAGGAAAAAGTATAGAACATTATTTCAAGAGTTCATTAACTTTCTTGCTCAAGAAAAGCAAGTTGCCGCATGTCAAAATCATAAGTAAGTCACCAATTGTTGCATAAAGAGAGTGCTTTGGTGAAGAGATCAATAAGGTTATTTGCAGATTCAATTTTCTTGATCTTAAGTACTTGATTAGGAACCAAATCATGGATACAACTAAAATACTTTGGATCAATATGGTTTATTCTATTGTCTAAACCTGAAACCAACTTGCATTTGTGCAACACAAGCGCTATTGTCTTCATATAAGATAGTTGGAGAATCATCATATGAAAGTCCATAGGTTGTTTGAATAAGTTTATGAATTGATCACAATCAAATACATTCTTGAGATGCTTCATGTAAGGCAATAACTTCTGCATGGATGGATGAAGTTGTAATTATAGTTTGTTTCACTAATTTCTATGATATTGCAGCTCCATGTCTTAAGTATACATATCATATTTGAGATTTAGCTATTGCAATATCAGATTTATATCCTACATTAGAATATCCAACCAATTTTGGATTTGTAGATTGTGAGTAGTATAATCCCAAATCTTCACTGTCTTTTAAATAATATAGTAAATGTTTGATGTCATTCGAATGTTGTTTTATTAAATGTGCACTGTATCTTACAGAAATACTAACTGCAAATGTAATATCTGGTCTTGTAGATGTGGCTAAATATAAAAGTGCTCCAATTGTTGCAAGGTATGGATATTACTCTTCTAATATTTCTTCCTCCTCCTCCTTGCATGGACAATATGAATCATGACCATCACAACCACGTCCAACCATTAGTTTTGACAATGGATAAGCATCAATCATATTGAATCTCTGTAAGATTTGTCTAATATACGTTAGTTAGTAGAAAAAAATGCTACCATCCATGAGATGCATAATCTGAAGACCAATATAAAAAGTTGTTTTTTTTAGCATTTTCATCTCAAATTCACAAATAAGTAGGTTAGTAGCTGTAACATATTTAGATCTAATATCTATTAGGTTAAAAACATCAACATATACATCAATGATTATAAAATTAGTTTTATTCTATTTGATAAATAAATAAGAGATTAGTGGATCACTTACAAACTTATTTATAATTAAATAATCTCAAAGACATTGATACTACATGTATTCAAATTATTTTAGACCATACAAGGCATTGTATAATTTAATACCACAATATTGTTCTGAAGTAGGTGCATTTGGAATTTCCATTTCCAAACCAAGTGGAAATTTTATATAAATATATGTATCAAAGAGAACCATACAAATACATAGTTATAACATCCATAAGACGCATCTCAAAGGTGGCATGAACTGCCATTCTAATAATATATTGGAATATAATTGAGTCTATGATTGAAGAATATCTGGATTCATAATCAATGTCAAATCATTAGGTAAATCCTTAGGCAATAAGACAAGCTTTATAACAAATTATTTGGCTCTTAGTATCTTGCTTGTATATTAATAGTATCTTATATCTTATTGGGCAAGAAATAAGAGTATCGACAATTGGACCAAAGACTTTCTTCTTATGTAAAAAAAACATATTCTTTCTTGATGGCAATTTTCTATTTTAATCAATCAGAGCAATACATTGCTTTTTAGATGGTTTGAGGTTCAAGATTTTGTTTCTTGTAAGAAAGAGCTTTTACAATCATACATGCAAATAATTCATCTATTATAATAGATAATCCATTCCAAATATCATTTGTAGCTTAATATAGAACTGATAATTCTATACTCAACTTAATTTTATTCTTTCTAATTTTAAGATTTTCTATTGCATATAGTGAAGGTATAATGTATATGGACATATTGTCATTAATTGATGGTATTGTAGATTTAGTAAAAACTTCTACAAAAACAATACTAGAATTATGACATGTTGTAGTTTTTTTCTTTCGTGGTTGCTTATTTAATCCACGAGTCCTTTCAATTATTGATGTTTTAACTTGAGGAATATTAGTTAATGGTATTGCAATCTGAGCAAGTTGATTTTGAGCCTCATTAATTAGAATTCTTGTAATCTGAGGCGCATCATTGAAGCCATCAAGTATTTCATCTGCAATCCATTTTAGATACAAAATCTTGGCAACTTCAATTTCAGCCAAAGATGTTCTAAGATCAAGATTTATTGTAAATATTTTTGGTGCTTCAAATACAAGTATTGTATTTCTTTGTTGATTAAGTATTTCTCCTCAAAGTGATGGAAATATGTTCTCTTCAAAATGACAATTTTGAAAATGTGCACGTAATAATGTACCAATTGATAGATCAACTATACAAGTAATGCTTGATGAATTAAAGCCAATATATATGTCCTCTTGTCGATGAGCTCCAATGGCATGCCGTTGAGGTTCTAATATTGAAATCAAGCACAACAATCAAACACCCATAGGTGAGATACATTTGAAACACGACCTAAAATGAACTCTTGTAGTATAATAATTTCAAGAAAAGAAGGATGGAGGCATATTAATGTTGCAACATGTAAAATTGCATGACCCTACATAGATGCATGTAAATTCACTTCAAGAAGGAGTGGCCAAGTAATGAGTTGTATATGGTTTATAAATGACTGTACAAGTTTATTTTGAGCATGTTCATATAGAACATAATATGTCAATCCAATCCTTATTACAATACAATAGTCTTCAAAAGACTTTGATATAAATTCTTTTGCATTATCCACAAGCAATGTTTTGATAGGATAATCAAAAAAATGTACTTAAAAAAAATAAGCATAGATATAAGATTGGCAAATACCATATTTTGAGTTGATAATAATGAAACATGTGATTGTTTGTGTGATGCATCTACAAGGACAAAAAATAATAAAATGATTGAGATATTAGATTAATAGGACCACAAATATCACCTTGTAATCTTTCAAGCATTGATGGTAACTCTCGTGGAAGTTTTGAAATTGAAGGCCAAGCAATCATCTTATCTTACATACATGAATAACATAATTTTATAGAATCTACATGTGCAGGTCTTAAATTATGTCTAGTTATACATGGATTCATTTTCCAAAATAATATAAATTTTGGATGTTCTAATTATCCATGCTAGAGAGAAATGTAACTCTTTATGATAGATGATGCAAAATTAAATATAATAGGAGAGTGGATTGCAATCTAGTATAAACCATTTCTCATAGTAAAGACTTTTTCTACAACTTTATAATTTTATTCAAGAATCAAAACCTCTTGTCTATCTAGAATTGCAGTTGAGAGGTTATAACTATTGACATGTTGATCTGGGTAGCTAATTAGATTCCAAGGTGCTGAGGGTGCAAACATTGCATATTTATATTTTATGATAGAGCTTGCAGGCAATTTTATCATCACTATTCCTTCTTGAAAATAAAACACATTCGTTTTAGACATAGTCATTAAATTTCTAATTTGCTAAGTTGAAGATTTTTTAATAAAAAACCATCTATCCTATAATGTAGAATGTATTATTGTGTCAAGGACAAGAACTCGATGAAAAAATAATTCAAAGAAGTGAGCCTTCACTCAAAGAAAGGTAACAAAATATATATAAATAAGTATATATATTGAAAGAGAAACTAGAATGGCTATTGCCAAAAGACAAGAAAACT